CTATGAGTTCAAAAGAGTCATACGCACACAAAGACTTTACTCCGCTTCTGACGCCGTTGATAGTTGGTGTTGATGATCCAGATGCCAGATGGAGCCGACGATTCAGATGCCTGAGACTTACCCCGGATACGCCCTTCCTGACGACCTCGAGCAACGGCGTGATACTATTGCGGACTTCCTTGCTGACGCGACTGATCTTCTCCTGAACGGGAAGGTCCTTCTGGTTGATGATCTTCGCCAGTTCATTCGCCGTTGATGTGAGGGATGTCGCAAGGGCGTTATTCGTTTGTTGAATCTGACGTTAGATGGCGTGGAGCTGTGAGCCAGAAGATCGGAGGGTGATTCGGAAACTCGAGGCGAATGAGGCGGTTGACGGCTGCAGTTTCTGCAGTTCAGAAACCATGTTGTCGGACTAGAGGATGGGGGTCTCGTCAGACCCGAGCATTTCACAGCACTCCCCCACCCTTTGCACCCATCATCGACTGTGGACGTCTGGGTGATCACAAAGAGCGACCTGATTCTTGGATGAGTCCGGTGTTGTTGTTGTTCGGCCGCCGGCAATGGGGGTCCGAGGGTCCTTTCAACCTCGAAGCACCACCGAGCCTCTGAACTTCCCTGATCGAACAGGTTTTCATGAGTCACCCATGTTTCCCCTGGGTCGTTCAGCTACTATCGCCTGGACATCCCTGCCTGACCTCACGCTGCTGCCCGAAATGGAAACGCAATTTGAAGGCCACCTTCTTCAACGTTCACTCCAATTGGAAGCTGTGGAGATTCAAAGGCGAAAAGTTATCGTGCGGGCTCTCGGCTTCATTGCAAGAATATCTGAGTGCATCGCTTCTGAGTGAGTTCCTCCTTCCATTGCATTCTTTCTACCTTACCTTGTCATCCCCTTCTGTGCTGCAACAAACCTTGCAGCAGTTTCCCCTTGTATGCTCCAGTCGAGTCGATCTCCTTCCTGTATACTAATAATGTCCTCCCAGTTCTGGTCTTGGCAACGTCGTTCACGAACCTCGTGTTTCTACAGCCAACAAGACCCCCCAATCTTAAGCGAACCACTGGTTTCTAGTGGTACGACAATTAGAATCTTGAATTTATGACCTTCTGGATGCTTACATTGCCACTGCAACAGCCCTACAATCCTTTTTGATCTGCTTTCCATCTGCAAAGCCCGACTCAGCTATCCGCTCGTAACAACTCTGCATATGGATAGAGGAGACCCCTTGGCAGTTAGTTTTCTCCAGCCCCGTAGTCGACAGTGCCAGCCCTAAACGCCCTTTCCATTGCAGTCACCTGGCCGGCGTCTTCAACCATGCCTAGCTCGACGACGCCAATACGCTCTCAAGAAGCTCCGCAATCCACGGTACGCCATCTGGTTCACGTCATTCAGAAGGAAGTGACGCCAGCTCGAGCTGGAGAGCTGGGAAGAGGGGAGAACGGACGTTTTTGACTTCTGATTCCACAACATTGGCAATCCTCAACTCTCCCGACTTTCATGATGGCATCGCCTTTCGCGTCCACCATTTGCATACCTTCGTGCATCGGCCTCCGAAGAGGATATCGCCATGGTGGAATCCACCCAGCTAATGCGCCTCTACGGAGCTCGTGGATCCAGCATCACCTTTTCGCCAGCAGCCACGGCAAATCCCTTCCACAGCGCAATTTAAGTCACTGTCGTCCGCCTGATCATAAGCGCAAGCTTGTGTCGCAGAGCTGGAGAGTGGGGATAACTCTTTCGGCAAGTTATCAGCCTTGCATTACTTATTCCTTTGGTATACCGTTCTCCCTTCACCCGCTTCTGAATTCCTCGTCACCTTGCATCTATTTGGTCTTTTTGCCTGGCTGACCGACCTCCTTCGTTACTTAGGTTCTAGTACCACAACACCAGTGTAATCCCCAGCTAGTGATCGCACTGTCTTTCGCCCGCCACCATGATTCGCACAACTTGCCCACTTGCTCCCCTTCGTGCATCGACTCGCGGAGAAGGTACAACAAGTACCAAGCTCGTGGATTCGGTCTTCGCCAGCTCACATATATCGATCGTCTGATAGGTTGCGCCCAGCGTGTGGTTGTTCGGCTATCCTCCTCCACCGAAGCTCAGAGCTGCTCGATAACCTTCTCGTCGACGACCCACTCCGTCCTTTGCGATGTCTCAAGTCGAGCAAAGAGTAGAACCAATGCCTGTCGATCTGGGCCTCGCCCTGACCTCTACCTACTATTTGAAATTGCCTCTACGTGGTCAACTGTCTTCTTACTTCTTCCAGGCGTTTTTCACGCGCCGCTACGTACACACCACCCAACTACCCCAATCCCTACTCGTAGTACAAGCAATTATTATATCATGTCTCTCGTTGACGTTGGACTCAGGCATAGATACTGCATACATTCACTGTCCGATACCATTTCATCTTCTAGATACGCCTTCATTTCTACTAGAAGAACTTGTGTCTCGACTGTGGCAGACCTAAGTATCACCAAAGTTCGTGTCGGTAAACAAGCAGCCGTCTATAATGACGCTCGTGTGTTTCAACCGGGTGGTGGTGGAGTCTACAGCGTAGGAGGATCACTGTCTATCGCTCTGCAGCTCGTCCAAGTGCGGTTGGAGCTGGTCCTGATGAGCCGAATCTATCGTGCAGTCGTCGCATTTGGTCAGTCAGCTCTGCTGTCTTCTCTGTCTCGCCATTCCGCACCTAGGCTCTACAAGCCTCTTACTCGTGCGAAGGACGTCTTCGCGTAGTTGTGCCAATCGTTCCCTCATTTCTGCAGACGCCCACTCGAGGTCGCTCACTCGTCCTGCTCCGCCTTCTCCTGCGTGAGGAGATCATAGCATGCCCTCAGAGGACGTAGCTCAGCCACGAATGCCTCCTTATCCTTCTCAAGAACACGAGCTCGCTGCCTGGCTTCCTTCGATTCGCCAAGCCGTCCATCAGCCTCCTGTACTTAGATGAAACATTTCCTTCGTTCAACTTTGGTTCAACTTTGCATTGCCCTTGACCATGTTGCGGGCTTCAATTCAATTTCTTCGTCGACTTGCTCCTACTCATCCTTTAGCCCATTATAGCCGTCTTTTCGCGCATACATTCATATCCAGCTCCCTCCTTTCTATCTTCAGGCCTGCCGTAACTAACCCCCTCCATTACAGGCTCAGGAAAAATCGACACTCCTCTCCCTCTTAACACTGAGGCGACCACCCACAATCGTATACGCAGGCGCTGCCCTCCCTACCTCCTGCCACGTCATCATCTCCCTCTTCTTCAATATCACAACCCACGAAAACGTACACCAACACCTCACCTACGCACGCTAATCCGAAACTATTCGACGCTTCCTCGCGTCGTCGTCCAGGCACGACGGTTTGGGAGGCGGTCGTTACAGGCTTTGGAGGGGGGTTTTGTTCCGCTTCGAGGGAGTGAGAGGGTGGGTGAGATACGTGTGTGGGAGGATGAGCTCGGATTTGAGGTTGAGATGGGGAGCGAACCGACTGGGGTGGAGAGGTAGGAGAGGAGGAGGGAAGTGGAGAAATGGCAAATCGCTCGGTGCTGGGAGGTCCTCTTCTCCCTTGGCCCACGAGCCTGGTCCACGCCAGGAACGCCGGAGCTGGAAAAAGAATTCGCGGCACGTCGGTTCGAATCCCTCTGGCCAGGCGAACAGCGTATTGTACTCCTCATCCGTGCACTAGTATCTCGGCCTCCCTTGCTGGTTCTGGACGAAGTATGGAGTGGCATGGACGAGGGTATGATTAGTGCCGTGTGGAGTGGAGATGCTTGACTGAGGGCGGTGGTGTTCGAGGGATAGGCAGCAGGTGTGATTACCCATTGGAATGACGAGGTTCCTTGGGTGAGGAGGTCGGGCGGTTTAGGATTTGGGAGGGGGTCGTGGGGTTGTTGGATGAGCTGGTGTTGCTTGAATTTTTGGCGTCAACACAGGGATTCTTGATAGACGCGTAAGATGAAGTAGTAAAGGTTTTGTGAAGGACGCATACCGAGCGGTCTAAGGCGCCAGATA